CTCCAATGGAATCCCATAATCATTTTCTAGTTGTATAACACCCAAGCAATACGAATATTTATCCTTAAGTCACTAGTAAAATCAATCACCTCTAAAATCATCCGAATACATGAGTCATATCATATCACTTAATTATTCTCAAATTGCAATTCATGAAACATTCCCTAGCCACCACCGCGAATAAAAACATTAGAAATACAAACCTCATTTGGCAACTTGTGCCTCAAATTCTACCAGTCAAAACCATCCTCAAAACAAGGACTACAAAACTAAGGCTATACCTCCCTCCGTGAAAGTAAGTCAACCCCTCCAATCAAAACCTCAATCGACGAACTCTAACAAAGTAACACTCACTAGCAATTCCGTCCTTCCACGGATGCACACAACTCCTAAACAAAGACAAGACTCATAACAAACGACGTCCTTGCCAGGACTAGAACAACAGAAGAGTAACAAGCCCCGCTCTCACAAGAGACCAACAACTCGCACCTGTATGCACCCGACACCCTATTACACGTTACTCATCAACTATCCAACCATGGACCCCCACTCGCTCCTGAGATGAAATGAACTTCCTATGCACTAGGAAAAGAACCAACTAGTAACACACAGAGAACTACGAACACCAATCTAGGCGACCTCGCCACAAACAAACCGTCACGCTCTATTAACACAAATACCTCGCACACACTACACTAACCAAAACTAACCAGATAAAAGCACCAATGCCCTTAACATACTAACACTAGGAAACATTGCTGTAAATTGGACACCGCGTCCCCTCCTACCCGATAATCTCCAAATGAGAAACTCTGTGAAATATAACGACACCTGATCACCTGTTCCACCTCTACCCTTTTGAAGTTGACACTACCTTAATCACCATGTACATAAACTCGTGACCTCAATCACAATGACATTACAACTTGTCAAAGAAAAGGGTGCCTATCTAGCAACACCGTCCTCACTGACCCCAACGTTCACACCATCCATAATTGCCTCAACTAGCACATAATCCATCACCTACCTGATAACACACAACAAACGACTCGTAATTTCCAAACTACATTTGGATTATATCTTAAACCACTCTGCTCATTAGCACCAAGCAGCACACTAAAACACCATAATGCCTCTACTGCCACTTATTCCAACCACAGTTCTATCATATCCTCCCACTGGACCATCAAACCACAATTATAAGACTATTCCTTAAATATCCTTAAGACAATATCATCATAACAAAAGAACAAACATTACTCTCGATACTCCTCATTATGATCACTATATATATATCCCTAAAAAAAAAACCTCAATACGGCAATGCCATGCCAACAAATCCTCAAACAAAATGAGCACAAGATCCGGAATACTCAACAACCACTTGTCTCCTTAGAATCATCTATAATACAATCATTTATGAACGCTTAATCGACCACCTAACCTATTGCTTCTAAGGTGATTGACATGACTAAGCAAGAAAATTTTGTGTCCTAAGTTCAACATCATTACCACTACCATCACCATCTCCGTTACTTGTTAATCCGAACAATCACCAAGGAAAACACTAATGAAATACTATAAACAATTGTCATTACATACCTTCGTCCACAGGAGGTCTCTTTGGTGACTCAATAGGAGAAACAACTGGACTGGCTACACGACCCTGAGTCTCCCATTCCTGTGACTCCCCAAGCTGAACACCGATCTGTGATACTGAAGGTCGAGTCGGTCCTTGCTCTGAACCTACCTCGCCAATTAGAATTCCACCTCTTTTGGGACAATCCTTCTTCCTATGGTCTAGCTAACCACACACAAAACAGACTCCAGAACTAGGCCGATCCCAAGGGCACTCCGCTCTCAAATGACCAATTTGCTTGCACTTATAGCAAGCCTTCTCGACTTTAGAGGATGTCCCCGGCGGTGAAGCAAAAACAGCAAGAGAATAAGAAGAATCACCTTTTAACATTTTTCGTACATGACTGTCACACGACATCTCCCTTTCCTTAACTTGTTTCCAAAAATCTCCACCTCTTGATCCGTCTATAACCCCTATTCTCACTAACTGTGCCATCGACCTCTGGGTCTCTATGACTACTGCACGTACAAAATTTGTCATAGCCTCAACCAAATTCTTAACCAAAAAATCCCAATCAAGGAACTCATCCTGCTCCCCATCATCATCTGCTTCTCTACGTCTCTTCGAAGGCATGATTCTAAGAATAGAAAGAAGGAGGTCAAATACAACACAATTATACAACCCTGACTCAAAGCTTTGAACATTCACACACAATAAGGGCACCTAGCCATAAAATATGAACCCGTTCTATAGTCGTGCTCAGGATGACTACACGCCAAATAGCTCAATCCACGAGCTAGAAGCCCACGCCATCCGTTCGATAAGAACTGGCTCCCAACAACCCTGAAGCTACCGAGCTCCTCGCCATATCAGGTCAAACTCACATAACCATCAACGCCGTGACAATTACCCCAACGTACTAGCTATCATTCCAATGCTTAACCTTATTACTACTACATAAGGATATGGACACATACACATATGCGAGGTGGATGAAACTTACAATACCATCGTTATAAACAATACTGCACGAACCGTGCCTACTACTTGCCATTGCCATAACTCTCATACTTATCATCATAACAAGATCAACAAGTCTTTAATCCTCATCATAGTGACAATATGCATTACTTTAAACATATAAACATGTGATCACATAGCAATTAAGCAGGTAAGCAAGTAAGCAAGGAAGCATGCTTCTTAAATAGTTAAACACTTTATCATGTAACACACAGGCATGTAAACAATTTAACATGCTCTTTCAAATATCAAAACACATAACAATTAATCTCATATGCAATGCAAACAACTTCCCATGCAATCCTACATAGGCCTCTACCCGTCGTCCTAAGGTTATCGAACCATCGCTCTGATACCATCTTTGTAACGACCCTAACTGATGCCAAAATTTTAAAAAAAATTGGCATAACCTCCCCTAAAAATGGGCCTACCACAACCTGTTTAAATGAATTTTTTAACCTATCCCAGCACAATAAACATATAATACATTCTAACATCCCTTTCATCCATTCACCATGCCTTAACTTAGTTCCTCTCATGGTGAAACATCCACACACCAATTAATCTAAATTGTCATAATTACAGTCCCAAAATACATGGTTGAGATTTAAAGTCCCTGTCTTACAACGTTACATGATACAATTGCATGAAAATATATATACCATAATTCCATTAGTTTCATTTACATCAAACAAAAGATAAGTTCGTTCTTAAGTTACAAGGCCATGAATACTAACTTAATTACATTTCCACAACTATGAATATATATAGAATGGTCAAAATACAAAATAGCAAACAACCTTCTAACAACTTTCAAGCTTGAGGTGGATTGTCGTCCACCGGTTCATTTCCAAGACCTGAAAAAAAAATATATAAATATATGGGGTGAGCAAATTGCTCAGTAGGTGGCACCTAAGACACGCATCTTGTGTCCCCGTAAACCCAAACAAGGAATAGGATAATAAGAATCGGGGTCATACTGTGTAGGGAAAATACAACATAATATACAGTCTCAACACAATCAATATGGAGCAATGAAATGCAATGCATGTTAGTATCGCTCCTCATTTTCAACAATTCAAATCCACCAATTTCAAACTGTTAATGTAACCCCCTTTGGTGACTTCGTAGTGCCGAGAAAAAGATTGGCTACTGTCCCTGACCTTTGGTGACTCCGCAGCGTCATTATGGGGCCCAGATAGCTCAACCACGCTAGGGCAATCTCCCTAGTTCTCTCTAGGTTACATTAACCCACCAGCCCGTTGGTGACTCCGCAGCGACCGGGTTTTCTCAAAACTCTTTTTCATCAAAACTTGTTTCCCCCAAAAGTTCCCTCTTTTGTATCAAACAATTTCTTTCCCATTTTGATACCCAATGACATGCATGATCATCATATGCTTTCATGATGCCATGATACATGAAAGATTCATACAATACACAATTTAACATGCTCCCATTCAACAATTTACAAAGAAATTACTAGCACTATAAGCATAATGGAAGCTACACATAGACATGCTTTCCATATAACAAATTCTACCAAGATATAAACCTGAAGCATGTAAAATCAACATCTAAGCATGTTTATCTCACAAAACCACATATACACATAAACATGAATCTCATTTACAAAACCAAATCATTATTAGAGGTAATCAACTCAATTAAGCATGTTAAACATCAATTAACAAGGATTAATTCACTAGGGGGCAAGAACTCATGGATTAGAAACCCCTACCTCTTAGAATTGCGAAAACCCTCAAAATGGGTCCAAATTTCGAAGTCTCTAGGGAGCACCAAAACTGAAATTGCTTGTACCCACGTGTAGAGTTCGTCGTGCTCGTTTTGCCTCAAACGGCACTTAAATCTACCATGTAATGAGAGAGAAATCAAGATCCAAAGTTTGGCTTCCAAAAGAAAAGAAAAATGAAGGGGAATGAGGGAGAGAGAGGAAGAAACGGGGAGAGAGAAAAATGAGAGAGAAGGAGTGGTCTCTAAACCACTAATGCATTAGTGGTGGGTCTCTCCACTTCAAATTTTGATTTTCCATTATTCTTTTGTCACAAAATTCTACACCACATAACATGTACAATGCACCATATGCACATACCACTTAGTCCACATGAATTTAAATGTACCAATTGCAATTGGACCCAACCACAATCCCGTACGCAAAACGTGAAATGACAGAAATACCTTTGCGGCAACAAAATTTTTAGAAAATTAAAAAATGGCAAAAAAAATTGGAAACTTCACAAACATTGCTGATCCATCAACAAAAATGTCGTGTTTGTTTACCAAGTTTAGCAGTTCTTATTGAAAATGGTGCTTGTTTACCAAGTTCCATTTCCTTTCCTCTGACTTTCTTGATTACTACAATTACAAAAATTAGATTGGCATAGTGGCCAGACTTGTCTAGACTGGAGATGATATATTGTATATGTGTGTGTTACTGGAAGAGAACCATAAACTGCTGCCAGATCTCCATTTGACCCAAAAAAAAAAAAAAAAAAAAAAAAAAAAAAAAAAAAAAAAAATTGCTAACTGAGTTTAATTGAAATATTTAGCAAAACAAAAAATAGTTTAATTGAAACAAATATATTTGATCATAGAATTCAACAAAAAAAACAAAATGCACACCAACGTCGATATCAAATCAATAGCAACAAATTTTTTGAAGAAATAATGTATTTGCTTTTGAAATTGTCTGAGAATAGCATGATCTCTACATCATAATATTTTCATTAAGGTACAAAATTGAAATTTGTACATGGAAATGATGACTACTGCTTTACAAAATTGTGTCTATATGCATAGAATTGTCTCATGATCTGCTCAATTGTGAAGTGATATCAATGAAGATGTCCTCTCTGCAGGGAATCGTGAGACCACCCATTGGATGATCAAAACCAAATTCTTCCTCAACTTGACTTAACAAGTCCTCAAATGAAGGCTGGTTCAAGTATGATATTGGAACCACGAATCGCTTCTTTTCACTCTCACCAACATAAACTGCAAAGTTGCCTTTTGGGACATTTATAACCATGGAATTTGCTTGGTTTGTTGTGAAAGAAGGTAGTCGAAGAAATTGCTTAGCATGAACAATACGAGGCACACGGAAACCCATTGTTGTATATGTAAATCTATCTCTCTCTTTGTGTGAAGTTTAGAAAGAGCTTGCAGAAGAAATGAAAGCTTTGATAGTGAAGAATGTAAAAGACTTGTTTTGGTTGTAGACTGACTCATATGTGGATATATATAGACTGAAGGCTTTATGGAAAATCCTCTGGAACGTGGAATGAGTGGTAAAGAGGGATTTAGATGTCAATTTGTGAAAAAACATTAGCACATGAAGGATAACATGGTTTTGTCTTCCAACTCATTGGCAATAATTTAGAATGATAGAGACTAAAGTTTATATTTGTTGAAAAACATCATGCCCTACCACTACTTGTAACAGCCTACAGAGGATTTTATCTTAAAATTAAAGAAATAAGGGAACTGATTATAACATACATCCAGCAGACCATTTGGATCAAATATTAAATCAATATCAGGGTCCGATTTGCCTATTACATTTTGTAAGTTCATTTAGAATATAATATATTTTTTAGGCATGCGGCCATACCGGTACAAAGGCCAGGTTTGCTAATGTGTTGTGAAACAAAGGCCAGCATTATGTCTATAATTATTATTAAGAAAATTAAAGCAAGATGAAAATTTTGAGTGCAGGAACCCCAAGTTTTCAGACAAAGCAATTATATAGTAGCTGCATTGTGGCTGGAAATGAAACAAATGCTCCCGGGGAACCTTGTCAACATACTTATGGGAGATTGAACTCCCAAGTCATGCTACAGATGACTAATATCACTACTAATCACTAGCCATTCCATTTGAACTTGAGACAAAATTCTTGTGAGAAATGTGATAACAACTATAAATTGATGGAAATCTCATTTGTGATGATTCAAAAGAAGTGTAACCATTTCAGGGAATTCTTATTCCATATCACTGTAGATACTCCAAATTTGTAGGACCTAATGACCAACATCTTTCAGATCATAGCCAAATTGACCTAGTTATTTCCCAGCATCTTCTTGGAAACAAAATGAGTAGGTAGATAAATGACTTGGTTTTTTTCACTTCTTCTTTTGTTTAATTATTTTAAATGGTGAATTAAGAGGAATAAAGAGGGACAATATAAAGAGATCATCAAGCTAGCATGTCATCGTTAATTGCCATTAAGATTTGGCTTTTGGTTTGCTGTCAAAGAAGGCAGTCAAAGAATTTACTTTTGGCTTTTGTTTTTCAGATGTTAAGCAAATGTACCTCTACAAAATTAAAATGGTAATGGCAGTGTGAATCCACATAATAGATTTGGCTTTTGGTAACTAAAAATGGCAGCAGGCATAATTATACTGTTAATACCTATATGCAAGGGACAGATTAGCAGAATTTGTACTGAAAAATCTAAAAGAAAGAAAATTTTAAGCTTCTCAATTGATGCGAAAAGATTCAACTCTCAGTTTACTTCATAAAAATCAAAGGTTATATCAAATATACAATAAACAACCACTTCTTCTGTTACAAAATTGAAGTAATTGGTATCTTTTGGTCAATGGTGTTAGAATATCTGTCTCTAATGGCTAGCCATTCCTTCTTCTCCTTGCTTAAGAGCAATTCAAATTGCAAGTGAGATCGCTGAAGGTTTCTTCTCTGCATGGGATGGTAAGACCACCCATTGGATGATCAAATCCAAACTCTTCTTCAGCCTGGCTTAGCAAGTTTTGGAATGAAGGATGCTTCAAAAATGAAATTGGGACTACAAATCTCTTCTTCTCGGTTTCTCCAACGTAAACAGCAAGGTGGCCTTTGGGTACACCAGTGTCTTGAAATTCAGAGAAAGAATATGAGAATAAAAACTCAATTCGATTTATTCATTGATGAGTATTACATTCAATTTATAAAATAGGATTAGCTAAAATAGGTAACAAATTACCTACCAATTAGCCCTAAATAAAGGAGTAAATAATTCAATCCTACAGCTGTACTATAAGAGATAAAATCTCAACACTCCCCCTCAAGTTAGTGCATAGATGTCACACATGCCCAACTTGTCTAAAAATTTTGAAAACACTTTATTTGAGATTGCTTTGGTGAGAATGTCGGCTAGTTGATCATCAGATCGAATTTTAGGCAACTCTACAATTTTCCCATCCAACTTCTCCTTAATGAAGAATCTGTTTATTTCAACATGCTTTGTACGATCATGTTGAATTAGATTATGGGCAATATCACATGCTGCTTTATTGTCACAATATAGTCGAATCGGTTTTCCAAGTAGAGGACCCAAATCCCGCAAAAGAAGTCTTAACCACAAAGTTTCACAAAGTCCAAGTGCCATACCTCTGAATTCAGCTTCTGCACTCGAGCGAGCAACAACATTTTGTTTCTTGTTTCTCCATGTAACAAGATTACCTCCTACAAAAGTGAAGTAACCAGAAGTAGATCGCCTATCATCTATAACTCCAGCCCAATCAACATCAGTATATGCATCTATGTTTTGATAACTAGCATTCTTAGTGAACAAAATTCCTTTTCCAAGAGCAGATTTCAAATACCTCAAAATATGCATAACTGCATTCATATGTTGCTCTCCAGGATCAAGCATAAACTGGCTAACAATGCTCAATGTATAAGCCAGATCCGGTCTCGTGTGTGCTAAGTACATCAATCTCCTTACAAGTCTTTGGCATCTTCCTTTATTAGTAGGTACTTGGTTGGACTCAACACATAACTTCAGTCCTTCTTCCACTGGTGTCTCAGCTGGTTGATATGCTGTCATGCCAGTCTCTTGTAATAGATCTAAGGTATACTTTCTTTGAGATATAAAGATTCCTTTATTAGATCGAGATATTTCGATCCGAAGGAAATATCTCAAAGGACCTAGATCTTTCATTTCGAATTCTCTGGACAAATACTTCTTGAGAGCCTTCATTTCTTCAGGATCATTCCCTGTAACCACCATGTCATCTACATATACAATGAGTGCAGTGATCTTAACTTGTTGTTTCTTCAGAAATAATGTGTGGTCTGAATTGCTCTGACAATAACCAAAGGCTATCATTGACTTTGTGAATCTTCCAAACCATGCTCTCGGAGATTGTTTAAACCCATATAATGATTTCTTTAACATGCAGACCTTCCAAGTATACTTTTTGGGTATCATGCATCCTGGTGGAAGATCCATGTAGACTTCTTCAGATAATTCATCATGCAGAAAGGCATTCTTCACATCGAATTGTTACAATGGCCAATCCAAGTTCGCAACTAAAAACAACAAGACCCGAATTGTGTTGATTTTGGCTACAGGTGCGAACGTCTCTGTGTAATCAATTCCATAGGTTTGGGTGTAACCTTATGCCACCAATCTTGCTTTAAAGTATTCAACTGCGCCATCTGCTTTATACTTCACAGTGTAAATCCATCGACATCCAACTGGTTTCTTTCCTAGTGGAGGATCAATGAGTTCCCAAGTTTCATTTTTTTGTAGGGATTTCATCTCCTCGTTCATAGCTGCTTTCCACCTAGGGTCAGTTAAGACTTCCTACACACTGTTAGGAATAGATATAGTAGATAATTGATTTACAAATGACAAATTTGATTCTGACAATCGATGGTTCAACACATAATTGCTCATAGGATACTTAACTTCACTAGAATGTTCGGGTTCATATGTGGGTTTAGGAATACCTCTAGTGTGACGCGGTGGTAATTTTTTTCTAAGCGGCTCCGGCACTAAATCAGGAACATCTTCAGTAGGCGATTGGTTTGATATATCAGTTGCGAGGGACTCGAACTCGGACGACGATGGGTTTGGCTCCATACTTTCCATTTCTGGGCGTTCATCACCACTTTGATCCAAACTTATACCACTTGAATCCAATTCACCTGATTCCTGATTGGTTTGTCCACCTTGTGAGTCATTAACACTAGAATCACTGTCCTCAAAGATGTGACAATCATAATCTAGAGTCTGAATTTCGTTCTGGTACTCCCCCTGAAGTTCAAACGCAGAGGAAAAATACATTGAGTCTTCATGGAAGACAACATCCATTATGATAAACATTCGTCGAGTGGGCGGGTGATGACAGCGATACCCCTTTTAATGAGTAGCATATCCGAGAAAAACACATCACAATACGCGACGAGTTAGCTTGTTGCGTTGATGCTTATGGAGGTGTACAAATGCGACAACCAAAGATATGAGGAGGTAGATTTGCGACGGTTGGTGCAACAACTACATCAGTGAGAGCCTGCAATGGTGTCCGAAAGGCAATAGAGCTGGAAGGTACTCGATTGATGAGATATGTTGCAGAGATAAGTGCTTCTCCCCAATACGATAATGGCATATGCGCTTCTATCAATGAAGCACGAACAACCTCCAACAAGTTTCAATTTTTTCGCTCTGTAACCCCATTCTGCTTAGGTGTATTGGAACAAGTGGTTTGATGAATAGTTCCATATGCTTCCAAATACTGCTGAAGGTCAAAACTCTGATATTCTCCACCATTGTCACTACGGAGAACCTGAACATGTGCATTGTATTGCGTTTCAACCATTTTATGAAACTTCTAAAACAATAAGTTCACTTCACCTTTGGACTTCATCAAGCACAACCAGGTCATCTTGGTACAGTCATCAATAAAAGTAACAAACCAACGGGATCCACATAAAGTAGTGACTTTGGACGGACCCCAGACATCAGAATGTATAATCATAAAAGGAAGTGGACTTTTATACAAACATAATGGATACGAAACACGATGGCTCTTTGCTAGTTCACAAACATCACAGCGGAAACTAGAAATATCACATTTTGCAAATAAACTAGGAAATAATTTTTTCAGATAACCAAAGAAAGCATGCCCCAGACGTCGATGCCATAGCTAAAGATGTCAGACTTTTTTCTCTCCCCCTCAGAACCATCCACTGTCAATGCTTATCGTAGCTTGTCGGAACTTTTGGACATCAAGTCTAAGTAATACAATTTCCCTCGCCTAATACCACAACCAATCGTCTGTTTTGTTTGGATGTCCTTAAACACACAAAAATCAGGCCAAAAAATGACAACACAAGATAAAGCTGTGGTTATATGGGAAACTAACAAAAGATTAGAATCTAAAGATGGAACAACTAAAACAAAATGTAACG